ACAAATTAAAAACAATCACTAATTTAAAGAAAATAATAAAATGAAACGTTAAAAAACCTTCAGAAGAATCTTCTTCTATAATAATAAAATGCTTAACATTACATTTTCTTCCGTTTCCGGACGAGTTTTTATTTACTCTTCCGGCCGTTTCACGCCCCATTTTCACGGTAAATAACCCCTTTAAGCCCTCCCACGACAAATGTATGTCTTTACGGAATTTTCGCCGGCCCTGTTTTCCGTTTCTTACCTAGAACAGTGACATACCTCGCCCACCCACGTGCGAAGTATGCCCATCGTTATGTTATCGAATAAGTATATTAGTTTTCCTTATAGTTGGGAAAACCAAAAATTAAAATTTATCAATATTTACGGCAACTTGGCGTTTCGGTTTAATTATTTAAATTTTTTAAAACGATATTTTCTACCATTTTCTATGCTCCAATCGAAAAATTACAAGATATCGATTTTGCTTCATTTAGTCTCTAGCCACTGACAGAGAAATTCGGTTTTTTATATCTAAAGTACTTTTCACAATAATTGAAAAAACCAAAAAAGACGAAAAATGTGATTTTTTTCAAACTATGGCACAAGGGTTTCATTATTTTAAATTTATACGGCTGATGTTATTTGCCATAAATCTTGCTCCATTATAAAAACGACAAGAGATTTTTGTTGAATTTTTAATCTAGTTCGTGAATACGTAATTGGTTTTTTTAATTTTATAAGTAGTTTTTGTAATAATTGAGAAAAATCGTAAAATTACGTTTTGTAAACATTTTAATTCTGAGAGTTTTTATTGTTTACGTAATTTTTATTTGGTAAACATTCTGTGGATAAAATTGTTCGACTACTTGTTCGAGAAATGCTTGGAAATTTGACAGGAAGTTCATTATATGTCATACTTGAATATCAAAAAAAAAAAAATTGAGTATAATCTAGTATTCTTATTCATACTAGCCAATATTAAACATATAATAAAGTATTAAGTAATGATAATATAAGTAGTAAGTACTTAGTGCATCGTAAAGAATGTAAAAATGTCCTGTCAACTATGTACAAATTACGATTTTCAATTTATCCAAGGTTTCTACTCTAAATTTCACGTTTCACGTAACCAAATTCGTTTAAAACTGCATGAGGAACTAAAATTTGCTGTTCAAAATACGTTTGGAAACTGGGAACTCATCCCTTGTGTCAGATGCGTAGCTAGGAATTTTAAAATGGTAGTGTTATTCAGAATAAATTGAGTAAATTATACACATCACATTAATAACATTATGTATACTTTATTGTACAGTTATACAAACACATTATAAGCGAACAGTCAGTGAATAAGTCAATAGACTATGATTTATGACAATATGTTTAAATATTTTTGTTGAAATTTAAAATTTACATTTTGTCTCTTGTACATTACTATTAATAAAAATCGAAAATTGTACTTTTGAATTAACTTAATTCGACGACTTTTTAAAGCTAGTTTATCTATTTTTTCGTCAGCGGTTACAATTACATCGCGACGAATATTCATAACCGCTAATCCATGTAAGCGATTTTCACCAGTTGTATTTCTTAAATAGGTTTTCAAGCGTCGTAAGGAGGAAAAGGATTCTTCACTACGTGCTGTTGTCACTGGTAAAGTAATCGATATTTTTGAAAGCCGACGATCCGTAGGGAATATTTCTTCATTACAGCTGAACGCTTCAGTAGCATTTTTTAGGAGTTTCGTTTATTATTTTTTGATGCCGTATCGCAAATTCGCCTGTTGCAAATACTTCATCCGCTCCAATATCTGAAGAATATGTCTTTAGAAGTTCTTTAATGTTGGTTTCATTTTTCTTATGTGCATTTAATAAACACGTAAAATTGTTTAATAATGCCTAATGATTTAAAAATGATATGATTTAGATTTTCACAAAAATTATCTAAAAAAAAGGTATAAAAATCGAAAACCTAAAATAGACATCAGTTGATTCTGTTGAAATACCAAAACGATTTGTTCGGTTTATCGCTAGCCGGGGTAATGAAATTGTAATCCCCGATGACTCACATTTTTTTCAACATCAATCTATATTGTTTTAAATTATCTTCTGCCACGTCTGTATGCGACCTACTGCACTCTTAACGTTATTTGCAAGCTTCATTTACATAGAAAAATCCGTATCTTCTTATTGGAGTTGACGGCTTAATGGCACACTTAATGAATACAACTTTGCTAGAACATGGATGAAAAGTAGAGTATCTCCTTGTTTTAAAGAGTAAAGTATACTGCTTGCTTTTGAATGTGTTGGACGGTGTTTCAACCATGATGAAATAGTTTCTAAAGAGTCAATTATTGAATCGTAAAGTTCCGAAGTTACTAGTATCGCTTCATGCCGTTCGACCCATCTAGTTGGGCGTAAAGTTTTCAATTTAGTTTTTTTTTTTGAACTAGGAGCAGTTTGTTGAACAGAATTTCGCAAAACCGCTTGCCTTTTGGCCGCGTTAAAAAAAACCGCACGCTGTCTGAATAATTCCAACAGCGTTACGAATTGATTTGAATATTGTTACCGTGATGCATATTTCGTTACGTTAAATATGTGTACATCACGGTTTATGACGATTCTTTACATTTATACGGCATAAGTGTAACGCAGTCAAGGGGGAGTGTTACTACACCTGTAACGCCACCACCCTCCCCTGGCTACGCGCCTGTCTCGTGTAGGCGGGCTTTCCTAACTGTTTTGTTTTGTTTTGTTTTTTTGTTTTGTTTCGGTATACGTTACTTTTTACTATAGCCGTTTCAATAGAGATTTAACTGAATAACGCAACCTTGAAAATGAGCGGTTAGATAATATCGCGTTCGACGATCCTAAATAGTCGGAATTTTAAAAAAAAAAAAAAAAAAAACTAGGTAATGTGTTTATTGCGCGTACACATGCACGCGTATCGTACATACCGACGATACACGGTACGTATATTTAGTGTTGTATAACAGCGACCTAAATACGCCGCAAGGACGTTACATCAGTACGGACCGTTTGGTACTGTTCAAGTCTACCGCATTGTCATTTATCGTTTTATTCTATTCTCACGTCGAAACGTGCGCGGCCGTAATAATAGACGGGCAAACGTGCGCATAACCGCGAGCGCGTATGCAATATAGGTACTGTCCGTTCGCACAGTCTGAAGACGAGCGATCCATCTACCGCCGAATCGTGTAGAACAAAATCAAACTTGACCGTTTCAACACCCGCCCGTATAGCGAAATTTTACGGTCAGAGAAGAATACGTGAATAACACAAGACCGCGGAAATTGAATACGCCGAGCGCGTTAACGCTTTTGTCGACGACTCGCCGGAGCGTACGACAATTTCAAATATACAATCCGAATGTATTTTAATGCGTGAAATATCGTCTGTACTGTGATCAATAGTACTATCTAAAATAAGAAAATATGCGCCCGTTAATACTGAAATTATTATTCCAGTCATTTTTTTTATTCTCAAACCTTTTCCCCATTTAAGTATCTGTTTTACGAGGTGTACATTTTGTGTAGTAGCTGTTCTCGTTTCAAAACCTCGGCATGAATTATTCCCGTCTATAATCATGTTTTCACGCGACGGAGTTCACGTGTCGCCCTACAACCGCGCGCCCGGTTTTAGCCTACGGCTAGTGTGGGGGCACGGGAGTTCGGGGGATTCCGGAGCGGCAAGCCGGTCCCACGTCCCCCCGTGTCGTACCGAGGACCACAAGCACCGCGGAGCCCTGAAACCGCGGAGCCCCGCGTACCAATGGGTTCGGGCCGTGCGCTACCCGTCCCCCGCCGTCGGTTCGGCCGCAGCCTATCCCACTGCTTTCCGTTGTTTTTCGGTCACGGACGACGTTCGGTGCGGTGCGACACTAAGTAGGCGCCAGGGAGATACCCCGGATCACGGCCGGAGCCGCTTGTGGGGCAGTTCGACCTAGAGCTTTCCTCGAGTCAGCATTTGACCCGTAACCGCAACATCACTCCGGTGGACAGCCACCGCGAAACCGTTCCGCCGCCGGCGGGAGCCCGGCCAAGACCAGAGGCCTGCCAACGTGACGGGCCGCCGCCCCGATTGCTCGAGGCAACGTGGGCTCCCGCCATCCCGTGGTGCCGGCATTGGTAAAATGCTCAAATGCAATGCTAAAATGCGTCGTCGGGCCGCAGCCCTCCGCTGTCGGTCTACCCGGATTGGGGAGCGTCCCCGAGCTCTGGGTGGGCCCTTACACGGAGCGCTCGCTCGTGCTTCACGTCTTTTTTGTCGCCTTCTACGATATCAAGCGGGGCTCGCTGTTGCCGCCGTTCTACTGCCCGGGAAACAGGGAGTCCACGCGGGACAATGCTCGGCCGAGTTCACCGTCTCGGCCGAATGCACGTCACGTGTAAATGAGTCTTGTGTATCCGCACATTGAATTTTCTGTATCGATTCTTGATAAATTATAGTTAAGTGGCAACTCGAATCTCCTATAGTATTATACGTAACATACGCCACGGGACATATTCGTATTGTTTTTACATTTATTACTAATGCACGTTATAGTTTTTTCTAGAGAATGTGATTCGCTTAACATTCCATGAACGATGTTTGTTGCTGTTGAATCGCAAACTACCAGATGAAAGTTAGCTTTCTAATATCAGGATGCAGTTTGTTTAAAATAATGTTGGCCCTTTCTGAATACGTTATAACTGTAGCTATACCAAATTTCACTTATTTTGAAAATGGAATAAAAATATATAAGAACCATCCAAAATTGTATCCATTTCATTGGAATAAAAAATACCATCACAGTAAGCTAACGGTAAATATTGACGCAATAGCGTCAAATGCACGGGTGTTTGTTAATACAAATTTACCAATATCTTTTAGGTACATTTAACTCTATAAAACATCATAGGGTTTTTGTGTTATTCAAAATATACAGCTCGATATAAAAGATACGAAAACCTTTATATTTTTAAATAACTTTTTTAATAGTTAATAATTCAAAACCACATATGACATTCACTCCAAAATATTGTTCTATATAAATTTCATAATAGGTACTTATATTCTAAAATCAAAAATAAGCTAGTTTTACTTATTTTATGTAAAAATTGTTTTTGTATGTTACCCGGTAGTTGAACTGAGATAGTAGATGCTGGTATCTAAGTAATGTTAAGTAATGTTTTAATAAGTTTAAAGTTGTTATACATATAATGCTGTTTTCAATTTGATTTATAAGTGAGAATACACATAAACTCATAATATTAAGTAAAAGTGATGTTTTGTTAAAAAATATTTTATTTTAAGGCGGTAAGTTTAAGACACATAATGGCATGTTTGAATATTGTATTGTTATATTATATAAACATATAAGTTAATAATAAACAATTATTTACTATAATATAAAGACATAAAAAATACTAGAAAGATTAAATATTGAAGGGCACAGAACCTTCTTCTGCAAAATAATCGTTAATTTAATGCAAATGTTTTTGGCATTACTATCAGAATGATTGGAGGACATTTTACCAATTGACTGTAAACCTATAAAATATAATTTAACAAATTATTATTATAGTTAATACCTAATAGACATTATATTATGATATTTCATTTAATAATATTATAATTAAAATTAAACTTAACCTAACTAAGTACTTAATTCATAAGTATAATTTAAGTACGTAGGTATTATACTCAGCAATATGCTAATATTAGTAACATCTTCAAAAATTATTAAAAATAAATAAAAAATTATTAACTAAAATATTAATTTTATTCACCATGTATTATTGCTATGTAATCTTATATGAAAGTGCCCAAGGGTGTACACTTTGGAAATAGACTAAAATGTTACTATATAGGTACTTTTATTAAAGAAATTTTCTAACACTAAACTAAATGCTTTTATTTTAACTTATTTAAGCAACTATAAGAACTAATAAACCATGGTCCACACTACACTTATGGTTAGATATCCAACCACCAATAAAGAAGTTATATGTTAATCAACTTTTGCATCCTTCAAATCCTTTCAATATTCAAGCACCTTTAATTAAACTGAGATAATTGAAAATATTATGGTACCCAAGTTACTGAAAGAACTTTATTTAAATCTTTTTTCCTCGGTATACAATTATATTTCAGAAATTAGTGTGCACCTTGAAAAATATTATAAGATGTATATAAGAGTTTATATTTGGAGTAATTTATTTGATATAGCATATGAAAGTAGCAGAAAACTTCTGTAGCAGTTGTAGCAACCTTCCAAACTATTCTATAAAGAAATAATGATTGTGCAGCTAAACTCAGATATAATTCACCATTATTTAGGAAAGTTAATACATGTTTCGTTCCTCCTAGGTGAAATACAAATTGTATACAGAGTTTTTCTAAAATGAATGAGGACACCAGTATTTAGTAGGGTGACTTAACGATGATATTGAAGTTTTTTCTCATCTTCAAAACCTGTTTTTTTTTTAAGTTATTTGTGGAATATTATCTGCAATCCAAAAATTAATACTCTAATGATATTCTTTACAAAAGTCATACAAATTAAAATCATTGCTGGTTTTTTTTTGAAAAAAAAAGGAAAAATAAATGTGTGATACATCAATGTGTATGAAAATACTGCAAAGTATGATGAAATTTGTTTATTGTAATTTAATATACCTCATTAATTAGCACAGTTTTTACATTGTAAACTAATACAAATTATGAAATAATAACAAAATTAGGGTTAATTGATTTTTAAACTATCAAATGTATTGCTATGAATTTAAGTTGTGTTTTAGATCTTTAATATTAGATGGTGGCTTTTATCTGTAATATCATGAAAAAAACTACTAACCATTTATGTATTTATAAGGAAATTACTATTTTTGTTTATCACAAAAACCTTATTTTATCATTATTATTACAAGATAACATTTTATTTTGAACTTATTAACTGTGTAAAATTGTACCTACTTTTATCATTAATATTGAAGGGACTTAACCACCACTCTATTCAATACTTGGCATTGAAAAACAGTTAAATTAAATTTATAAATAACATTTTAAACAATGCAATACACTGTCATTGAATATGCAGATATGGTATTTATTTTGGGTAATTGAATCCGATTTTTGTTTGGTGAATATCTTAACCTACAACCACACACCCTGTGCCTATGGCTATTTAGTAGGAGTGGAGGTTCAAAAGTTTTCGGAGCGGCGAGCTGGTCCCACATTCCCCCGTGTCCGACCACAAGTATTGTGGAACCCTGAAACCGCGGAGCCCCGCGTACCAATGGGTTCGGGCTAAGTATGGTTAGTATATCAATGAATTTATTTTCAACTTATTGATTATTTACTAACTTAGGAATCCTTTGATTTCCAACAATTCTATTTCTTTGTAAACTAGAAGTCTGCTGTATGTTTCTATGGGTGGGTGGTAGTGCTGAATTAGATTTAGACTGAGCTAACTTAAGTACATTTGTTGATAAAATTAAAATACCCCAATAAATATTTAATTACATTTACTTAAACATAATGGTCTTTTAAAGCTAATGGTATGGGTCTATGCAATTTGATACTATCAATAAGAGTTGTATATAATAAATGAATCCAAATACAAATAATAGCTGTGCAAAGTATATTACTAGTGTCAGGAATGGGTAATAGTAATTTTTCAGGATACAAGAGGTCATATAATTTTAAAACTGACAAAATATTTTCCAGCTAAAATATATGTAATTGTAAGTGTAAATAAAATATAATATAATATAACATAATATAATATATTTATATTTTAGTACTCAACATTTTTTTTAAAATAAAACTTTAAAAACTAACTGAATTACTTTGAATACTTTCTGATATGTATTTCAAATGTACCCACATTAAAGGATTTCTAGATTAGTGTAAATCTTTTTCAACACCTACAATTAAAAGAAAAAATGTTCATAGTTAAATAAAAAATATGTATTTTAGTAAACTTATTCTTTTATACTTTTTCATGAAGAGAATTAACACTATTTGGAAACCCAACAAATTGAAATAGATAAAATTACTTAGTTGGCTTGAACTATGTAACCAAAACCAATGGTTTCTTCTGGATCTGCACCTTCTGTCATTTCTTTCCATTGATCTAATGAACTCTAACTATTCTTCAAAATAATATATCTTTGTTTCTGAATAAGAAAAGAAATTATGTAGACAACTATTAAATTATATTGAGATGAAATATTATATTAGCTAAATCTTATATAAATATATTAATTAACATAAATAAATAAATGTGTGAATAAAGATAAATCAAAAATAATAAATATAACTTTATTATTTACCATTTTCTGTAAACTAAACGTAGAGCAAACCATATCCTTAGAGTAAGGCTGTTAAAATACATATCTTAATTATTTTGTCTGTTGCTGCAACAATTGTTTAGGATATAATATGTTTCCTTTTAATATTAACTTTAATGTATTTGAATTTAATTTCCATGGAGTGATTAAGTGGTCACCATAACCAGAATCTTCTACAACAGGTAGAATTGAAGAATGGCCAATCATTGTTTTCATTTGTGCAGCATTTCGAAAACTATCAATAAAATTAGACACCAAACAAGAAAGTTTCTATAAAAAAAAAAAAATCAACTATATGAAAGAAGATAAATATAAATAATATTAAATAACAAATAAAATAATGTTTACCAAATGTGGCCGCCCTTTATTTTCACTGTATACTCTGAGTACTTGATTAATTACAAAATAATCAGGAAGTAGATAGGCATCTCTATCAATTATATATTTAATGACTTCTTCGAGAGCAATAAACTGAGGTAATATAGATGTAGGTAATGCTTTTGGCATCAACATAACTTTTTCCAAACATCCCTAAATATTACAACACACAGATTTGATTAAAAAGTTTCAAAATAAATAATACATTACTTTCAGTTAATTTTACCTTCATTATTTCTCTAACTTCTTTGTAGTTATTTTATTGATTGAATTATATAAAACCATTCAATCAAAAATTCAGAATTAGTATAGACAAGATATTTAGAATAAATAATACATTCACACAGCAACCTAGAAACAAAAAAAATATTAACAGAACAATCTATCTGAAGTTATAAATAATTTAAATTTTATTCACCTAGATAAAACACCATGTTTTTAAACTAATTTTTGAAGAAGAAAAACTTTTTGATGAACACTTACTGTTTGAGTACAAGTAACTTTTAATATCATTTTAACGACTATCATTTAATCGAGTTACATTATTAGTATTTTGAACAATTTTTCGATTTGTTCATAATTCTTCAGAGAATCTTTTTAAATATAGCCATTGAATGCTTCAACTAATTCGTGAACTTTCTGAAATTATTAAAATAATGCTATTAAATTATTATAAAATGTATTTTTTATTATACATTTTATTGATTGTTTTCATGAATATTGTAGCCACATAATAAAATCCACTCTTATAAATAATTTGGATTAGGTTTACAATCAATAAATTTTGAAGTCATTCAAATTAAACAAGCCAAAGTTAAAATATTTTGTTTTGTAAAAGGCAAGCCAATTTGTGTATTAAATTCAAGTTGAAATGTTATTATTAGGGCGGAGGACTTGTAGCTCTAAAAAATCACCAAATATGCACTTAAATATACAAAATATGCATTAAAAATATACATTTTAAAATTAATATTTTTGAAAAAAAAAATAATAAGAATTTTTCTGTAGGTACCTATTATTTTAATGAATACATTTTGTTTATAACTTTTTTCAACAACATACAAGTTACTATTAATTATTTTAATTATTTGAGTTTAGTTTATAGGTTTTCTTATCTGGATACTTATTTTACTACTAAAAAACAATTGACAAAATATTTTATTTTCAAATATTTAAGATTAACACAAATTTTTACCTTGGAAGTTACATCGAACAACAAGATTTTTTTCCAAATTTTCAAACAGACAACTTTTTCATTGTCAGCTAACAAGCACTTTAAACATTGAAAAAGAACATTCAACATCAAAGGAATTTATAGGATCATATATGAAATATACTAAATCGCTGTTCCAGTGGCCCGTAACAATAATATTTTGTGCGATGAACAATATTATTTTATCTGTCTATAAATAAAATGAATAACTCGACAATCAATCTAATCGGCAACTCTCGAGATGTGTTTTTAGGTAAAACATAAGTCTGGGAAAAGTCAACAGCCATATTCATATTATGATCAAAATTTCAAATAATTTTAAATTCAACATTATTTTGCTTGTATAAATAAATAAATAAAAACGTCGATGAAAAAAAATTGATAAAATGATACATTATTAAAAAAAATGCATTTAAAAGTATAAAATGGAAGAAATATGCCCTAAAAACTAAAAACTTGTAAATTATGCATTTATATGCACAATAAAATTTCAAAACCAGCTTTGTGGAAGCGTGAAATGTATTTGTTTCGCACTCTGCTATTTTTGTGACCATGCAAAAAGAATATGCAAATGCTACAAGTCCTCTGCCCTAGTTATTGTCATAGAATTATAAATATTAAATGAATCCTTTCTCATCACTGTCTTACAAAATAATAATGCAAATGATGAAATTCTAATAAAATTATATTATGCAAATGATACACTAGGTAGGTAGATCCTATAATTATGTAAGTCAACTTTATAATTCTGCATGATTATGATAAAATAAAAAATGTAAACAAACCGTGCACATGGAATCAGATACTTTTATTCTCATCCTCCAAAACTGTCTATCAGTCATACTTATTTATGTATTCCCAATAAAGAATACAGAGGGAAAATGGTCCAATATTTTTCAATTTTTATTTTAATCTTTTGTTTCGATAGCACATTATGAATAATACTGAATGTTGAAATTAAATCAGTAAAAAAAGATTTCATTTTGCTAATATTGAAAGGAAAAGATTAGGTATATTGGTGAAGAATGATTGTGATTCAACTTTTTGTTTTGCTCTCCTGAAAAATTTACAGAAATGGATTACTTCTGTTTTCGCTTTGCACGATTCAAATGCTCTCATAACTTCCTCAATCACTTGTACGCAATTTTTCTTTGCCCTACTTTTTCCCTAACTTCTATTATAGTTCTATCTACACTTAACTCAAACATCTTTTTGAATACCTATCTCACTGAAGTGAGTATAATAGTAGCTAAGTACTTAAAAATTAATAGGTATGGAATTATTTACCGCTATTACGTTGAGCACTCGATTAAGACCATTTTCTGCCGTTACAGTGGTGGTAGTTAGGTACATTGTGATGTTCTGCAATGGTTCGGTTGGACTGTACTTGGTTATTATTTACAAATCAAAACGTCCCCTAAAAATAACAAACCCGATAAAAAGGATTATTGTATAATCATTTTATCACATATTTACCTACATAATATATTTAAACTGTTACACATTAATAACCGATTCCAGGCGTATTAAATAAATTAATTATTATGAAATTATTTATTAAGTTCTGGTACTGGTTCTAGTACTGTTTTATTGTTGATTTTCATATTGATAAGTTATCAAAATCGATTCGTTATTATTTTTTATCTTCGTAGTTTTCAATACATTGGCCGTGCATGGCTGTGGAAAAAACTTTGAAACGTGTTTAATAAGTGAATTGGTCTTTTTGTGATTTACATATTTTCCTTAACAATTAACAATTAACGGGGTTTTTGTGAAATATGTATGATACACCAATTAAAATTATACAATATAAATACACTCAATCGAAATAAATTAAGTTCATAATAGCAAATAGCAGGAACCTAGTAGGTAAACTTAACCTAACCACTGAGCGAAACGAGGAATGTATTGGTTTTACAGTTATTATAATTATTTTTTTTTTTTTTCCTATAAACAATTTCTACCAGAAATGTTTGATCATTTTTCGATTTTCCAAGCAGTTTTCATAATAATTGGGAAAACTGACAAGAAACGTAAGGAAAAGAAAAAATGGAAAATTTACGAAATTTATTATTTTCAGTTTTATTTTTTGTTGTGGTTCAATTAAAAACATTCGTAGAGTCTTAAAATTTGGACAGATAACTTATATTTGATTTTCAAGATGTGTTCAAATTTTCAAAACATTTTAGCCATTTTTGAACTATTTATTAACGATTTAATTTTGCGATTTTTTAAATCTTTATTCGGTAGGTAGGCATGAGGGGGACACATGCAGACAATACATTTTTGAATTGACATAGGTATCTCATTCAATTTTTATAATGTTGTGTTCTATATAAGTATTCATTTTTTAATAATTGTTTTAAAAAGTCAAAAAGTCTCTAACTCAGTGAAGGTACACAATGACGACAGTTTCGTTTTATTTTCATTTCATCAAAAAATGCAAAATAAAATAATAATTTTGTAATTTTGTAATTAAATAATTTAATAATTGGATACTATTTAACAATATTTTAAACAAATCTTTTAGTAAATCAAATCACTAGTATGGGTAGGTACAAAAAAACATGTTTTAAATGTTATAATGTAAATTCATAAAAAGAAGAAAACATACAATGTGATAATCAAAAACCTTTTTATACAGTATTATTAATATTTTTACAATATTTTCAGTCTTGAAAATTTTGTATTTAGGTACATTTTGGATAAAAAAAAAAATAAAACATAAATCATAATAAAACAATTTGATAGTTAAAGACAAAAAAAATAATGGATTTCATATTGCCCCACACATTTTAATTTTAATATTTAAAATAGCACCTGAACAAAAAGTTTTATATGTGTAATAAATCTTAGAATATGTATTTTTTCTTCTAATTAATATTGTAAATTAAATACGTAGGTACCCAAAAGAGAAATTACACAATTTTGATTCAAAATCAAAATTGCGGGAAATGTCGATAAACATGATCCACGTTATCATTTATCAGAACCAACCGCTACAGAATGGAAACGTTGAACATGACACCTTTTAACATGACTTATCGCTGCACATCGGTGGGAACCGCTTGATTTTATTTTTCTGTTATCCATTTGACTATTTACACCGTTATCTTATTGACTCATAATTTTGTTAACTATTGGTTCGTGGTACGTACCATAATACGTTCGTTATCACTTACGATAATAAAAACGTTATCAGAAATTGTAATTTAAAAATGTATATTGTTTTAATGATCTATTTTATAAAACAAATATTCTAAATTTCTTGCGAAAACTGTCCAACAGTTGTAATAAATTATGTATTGTACTGTGTGGAAAAATAAATTATATCAACCGTTTCCTGATTTAATGTTATTTCAATATATAAGCTGATGTTGATCCGCAGCAGTCAAATATTATACTAACTACAAATGTTTACCACACGAAGAATGGCATTCGAGAAATACATTCAATCGCGTTGGCACATCCATAATGGCATGCGACACTAAAGTAACAATGTAAAACGAAAAAAAAAAAATCAACAAATAACATATAAAATATATAAATGTATCTTTTGTCTATATTTAAACAGGTATACAAGTAAACAAGTATGTTTCAGCCCAATGAACCCGATATGACAAATGGCGGCTGGTGCTATTGCTGGTGCTCTATCCTAAAGTATCATCGCTCCATTAGATAGGACAAAAATCAATTTTCAAGTAACACATTTGTAAAAAAATAAATAAATATATTTGTTCACTTTTGGGATGCATTACAAACTTTAACATGTAAGTAATTTTAGATATCCCATGAACCGTATTCATGAAGAGGTGCTTTTCAGTTTTTAGCAAAAACATTATTTTTTGTGAAAGATGGGTTTATTATGCTATGGTGAGATAATACAGCTACCGTGACAAGAATTATCCCGTATGCAGCCATACAATTTGAATAATGGGGAAAGCTGCTAAAGGTTAATTCAAAAAACACTAGTAGTAATTATATTACTATTTAAATTTATTGATCAGTGACAATAACATACTAATATTAAATAGAACATAATGTTTACCTATCAGCTTATATGATTATAAGCTGAAACTCTATATAAATATCCAATACTCCTTATGAACACTCAGATTTTAAATAATCATTTAAATTACCTGTCCATTATTTATTTCAATTTTAATTTACCACCCGGCTATACATCCGCCGCAATAAAATTTAATACAATATATTTGGATTTTTATTTAACCGAGGGAAACTAAAATTCTGTTCTATAGCTCAGAGGTTCCCAAACTGTGGGAGAACTCAGCATGCACCTCAGACACGTCAGTAAAAAGTTCATCATCATCTGCGAACATGACGACCACGTCCATGTTGCACACGTCTGCCACCAGACAACAAACTCTTGCCATTGTACCTGGCTCCAACGAAGTAGAAATTTCCGAAAGTATAAACGCCGCCACGTTCGAAGACGCGTTTGTGCGTGCGACTTCGACGCCGCTGACTGGTCCAACATCGTTAGATATTTTTGTACAGACGGGCACGTCGCAGAAGAAGTGTACTGCGACAGTGCCAATGAAGGACTATGTCGTCAAATTAGAGATCTTTCCGTAAGTTTAATATTTTTTTTTATTTATATTATATTTAAAATATTAATAAATAAATATTTTCAGATAAACCAAAATCCAGTACGTGCCAAAGAAGGATTGGTGGAAGCATGCCTCCATGAGGGCCCTGGGGACCTTCAGTGCACAAAGTCCGCATTTCGACGGGGCGATGCGGGTAGCCAGGGGCATATTTGAGCACGTAAACCAACAGACAAACAGAAAAACCGAGAACACCAACATCTCGAGCTTCCAGTAATGTTAGAAGACCTATTTAAATACTATCCTACATGTTCCCCCGATGCATTTGTTAATATCAAAGAATTTTACTTAAATCCGAAATTAAATAAATTCAAAGAATCCGATAAAATTGTAAGAATAACTTTAAGAAATTGGTGCAAGGTTATTAGAGATTGGGACATTTTCGATTTTAATACTTATTATAATACATCTGGCGTTAAATCGTATTTCAACGCATATTCACTTCACGTTCTTCTTCTAATTTATATTATACTGTAGAAAAATCTATAGATATTGCAAATGAATTATTATTATATTAATTTAACAATGACAGAGATAGGGTAATAGAATTTTTACGTACACTATATAATATTGTCAACAAAAAAATACCTAAATTAAATTCTATGTGTATATATAGTCCTCCGTCAGCCAGAAAGAATTTTTTTTTCAATGCCGTAGCTTCTTTTTTTTTAAACTACGGTATGTTCGGACAGCAAATAAAAATAATAATTTCAAACCGATGCAATTGGATTTATAGTTATTGAAAATATAATGATTTATCAGAATACAAAATTAGTAGATACCTGCAAAACTTTTGATTATTTTCAGTTACACGCGGCACATCGAATACGATACACGTACGCAGATGTATATTTAATATTAAATATTTTTTCTCAAATAAATTTTTTCTTTTTCTTTGTACTTTTGTACAACTATGGACAAATGGTTAAACAAAAAGTCAATGACTCAAAGTCAAGAAAATACAGAGACAATATCTGTGTCAATAGTTAAAAAAAAAAATTAAATTACGATGAGCCTTCAGCAAGTTCTTCTGAGTCGAAACAAAAAATTCTTTAAGAAAATATTGTTTTGAATATTTGCGAATTGGATTTTCGTGGAACGGACACAAAAAACACCCATGTCCACAATGTGTTATTTGTGGATGTTTACTTGCAAATGAGAGTATGTCAAACAAACTATTATAAAAACTATAAACTATAAAAATATATTGATAAAATATATCTTATTTTAATTCAAAACTTGATTCTCTAAAACAGCAGAAAAAATTCATTGATATTGTAAGTCGCCAAATTTTAAAAATTTCCCAAAATGAGTCGTACAATAAAAAGTTTGGGAACCTCTGCTATAGCTCATTTAGGTAATATAAATTTGATGTTATTTTTTTTAATTATAGTTTAAACCTTTAATAATGTTTATTTGTATTCTGATAATGTTAATCAGCAGTGTGTCTAGCCTTTTTCAATGGGGTAAAGGGATATTATGAATAATCAACCTGTAATAATTCTGTATTTTATTATATGCACATTACTAGTAGTTGGTTATATTAGTAATTAGATGTACATTGGTACATCTATCATATTATTTAATTTTCAACATTTAAATGTTATTATTAAGTTTTGGTAAATATTATATATATTTTTTTTATTGTCAATTTTATGACTTGCTTAGCTGTTATCCTTAAATTGTTTATGTATATTAATTTATAAAAAATTTATGATCATAGACAAAAAAGTATTTTACTCATACTCTTTAGCTATTGAATATAATAATATTCTAGTAGTGATGAATTCAAGATGAGACTTTTAGTTGATTAAATTATTTTATTAAAATAATTGGTGTACATCGAATATGGTTTTTATTTGATACTTTATAATTTGTATGAACAGTTAAAATTTCTTTATTTGAAAATTATTATTTTTCCTATACAAACAATCTATATTGTTTGTAATTAGGTTTTGATAGTTTTTAAATTAGGATCAATGAGTATGATTAGTATAGTTGACCTTTGAATTTATTTTATTTTTCACCATAAAAAATAACAAACAATTAATTGTTAACTATTATTTTTATTAAATAGATAACAAATAATAACGTTAAATTAATTTTTTTATAGACATAGTGCAGGTCATAAGTTTCTTTCTGAACTTATCCCAGCCAGAGGTCCAGAAAGATGGCTGCGGTAACTTCACGAACTTTAACTTACGCATTTGATTTGGTAAGAACAAGAATGGCAGTTACTACCAAAAATTATTATAGATTGTTGGGAGATGTACATGATTTACCCATATTACTATATTTATTTACATGGACATAGTTTAGTTGATTATTTATTTTGAACAATTTTAGAGTAATTAAACATAATCAACAAGGGGAATATAATATAAATCATGTTACATAAAATTATTATTATATTAAAATAGGAAATAATAGTTGAAAACAAAATATGAATAATACAAAATTACACATTTATTTAGGTGTTTAAACAGACCTATCAAATTGAAGGCATCAAAGACTTTTACTGTGGTTATGTTCCAACAATATTGGGCATTATACCAGTTTTTTAAACTATTCTACATTAAAGGTATTTATTAAAGGTAAATATTTATAATATTGAAAATGATATTGAATAAAATTATTTTACTGTAATAAAATTGTTTCTTAATACAGAAAAACATGGATATGAAAATGCAGTAGTGAATTTAGCATGTGGTGCAATAGCAGGTATGGCAGGTCAATCAGGATCTTACGTTTTAGATATTATTAGAAGTAAGATGCAAACATCAGTAAATACAGGACAAAATTACAAAAACTTTCAAATAACAATCATGATAATTTATAAGTAATGTATTTTCATATATTATTAATTATAATGAAATAATAAATTGCAGTATTGTAAAATTATATATTTATTTTAGAACTGAAGGAATTAAACAAGGTTTTTTTAAGGGCTTAAACATGAATCGGATTAAAAGTCCAATTACTACTGGAATAAATTTTGCTACATATGATTGTGTAAGGGAATTTTTAAAGAAAATTTGAAAATTTCTACTCATTTTTTTTCATAATTAGTAAGTTAATGATGGAAATAATTAGTAGATTACTTACATCAATGTAGTTTTTTATCATGCCAATTTTATCATGTTACATTAGATAATATTTATTTTGTTTGTTTAAAGCCATTTATTTTATTATAATTGATTTATTTTTTTTTAATATAAATATAGTTTACAAGCGATAAGCGCGTCAACATTAATGGCAGGAATAATGATCCCACCGTTGCTGCAATTTATTGCCCACAAGAAAACAAGAAAACAGATTGGAACCACTTTAAAACAAATCTAGACGAAACCTTAACCCTCACAATAAGACAAAGAACACCTATTGAAATTGATAGTTCTGTTGAACAACTGACTAATAACATCGTGAAAGCGGCAACACCCATAACACCAACAGGTGGTAATCATGAAATTATCTACCCAATGGAAGTTAGGGAACTAGTAAAACAAAAACGAAAGGCACGGAAAAAATGGTACCAAACGAGAGATGCTTCGGATAAAACCGTCTGGAATTGCACTAGCAAACTTTTGCATGACAAAATTAAAAAAGTAAAAAACGAAACGTTCAAATCATACTTAAGTGAACTTTCTGCAACGAATAACACTAATTGTTCATTATGGAAGGCTACAAGATGCATGAAGAGTCCTAGAGCCTATGTACCACCGATTGGAAAGATGGAAGATGGATCATGGGCACGCTGTGAAAAAGATAAAGCAGATATATCTACGCACGCGATTTAGAATGTATATTTCAACCAAACGAAGTGGTTTCCGAACTCGACATAGCTCAGTTACAACCACTAAATGAAATATGCGATAAGATAAAGTACTTTACTCCAGCTGAAATTGCAAAAGAAATTGATATGAATATCAACCCAAAAAAGGCACCTGAATACGACCAGATTAACCCAAAAATTCTGAAAAAATTATCTAAAAAGGCTATGATTCATCTAACACACATTTAATACCATCCTACGTATGGTATATGTTCCTAAACAATGGAAACGAACCCAAGTGATCATGATATTTAAACTAGGAAAACCACCAGAACAAGTAACTTCATATAGACCAATTTCGTTTCATCCCAGTATCTTAAAATTATTCAAAAAGGTACTTCTAAAACGCTTAAAACCATTGATAGAAGAAAGACAGCTTATACTGGAACATCAGTTTGGATTTCGAAATAAACACTCAACAATTGACCAGGTCCATCGTGTCACCAACGTAATAAGCAAAGCGCTTGACAAAGAAATTATTGCTGTGGAGTATTCCTTGATTGGCACAAGCTTTCGATAAAGTTTGGCACAATGGATTACTTATAAAACTAAGAGGAACAGCTGCCATTCAGGGTCATTCACAAAGAAGCATTAACTGATTGGAAAAACATATCGATGAGTGTATATCAGAGAAGCCTCCTTGGACCAATCCTGTACTTACTCTACACAGCGGACATTCCGACCACCAACTATTCAATGACAGCCATGTTTGCTGATGACACGGTAATAATGATAACGAATGAAGACCAGCAGACTGCGACTGATTGGCTTCAAAGGTCCATCTACAACGTTTCCAACTGGACGAATATAAACCGGTATTACTAGATCAGCAGGGCATCCCACAGTGTGACTCGGCAAAATATCTACAAATGCACCTGAACTCTCTACTCAACTGGAAGCACCACTTAGACAGAAAAAATTGCAAATTAAGAAGAAAATGCGACAACTATATTGGCTGGTCGAAAAACATGTTTTCTTTTTATATATATAAATACATACAAGTATTTATGTAAACCTTTGATGATGTATTGTTAGATTTATTTTAATCGTTACAATAAAAGTTTTCGGGTGGTTTAAAGAAAAAAATAAATAAATATAGTATATAGTAATTATAAACTTTTATTTTTTTTTTTTAATTACATAATATCTATTTTAATATCTATATTAATATCTAAAGAATTTAAAATCTGAGCCTGATGTCATCAGACACGGCACGGACTTAGCTATTCTACACCTTTTTAATCGTTTAATATTAATAATTTAACCTAATTATTAAATACTACCTAGACACTATTTTAGATTCGGAGTGGAGCGAGTATTGGTTTTACAATGATCTTTATATTTTTTTTTTTTTTTTTTGCGGAGCTCCCTACTTACATGTGTTTGAAAATTTAGCTGGACCGACCAACCATGAAAAATTCTTAAATACGCCATTGCCGAAGTGTATAAGCAGCAGAAATTGAATAAGCTAAAGACATTAACGCTGAACAACAATACACTGGTATGGGTCCGAATGTTGTCAGAACTTTGGAAGCTGGATAACGTGGTGTTTGAGAGCTCGAAAACTGAATTGAAGAAGCTGCTCAAGGACATTTGGTTCCGTTGAAGTGAGGCGTACCTACTACCCAGACAAATTTAATAGACCATCGACTTAATGAATCTCCTGTTAAATTTTCAAGCATTTCTGTAAAGTCTAACAATTTTACCATAGAGTACCTATCGATCAAAAATGACGTAAAAACTCGCAAAATTAAACTGTCTATAAAAGCCTAAAAATGGCTTTGTTATAATAATAAATATGTTTTTAAACAATTAAATTTTACTACGTCTAGAAAAGGCAAATATAAGTATTCTGTTCAAATTTCAAGTCTCTACGAATATTTCCAACCGAATTACAACAGTTAATACAATTTTAAAAATAATAAAAGCATTATTTTCTTAAATTTTCTGGTTTTCTTATGTTTTTCCCACTTTTTCTTTTATTGGGAAAACTGCGGGAAATATAAATTACATAATATCTATTCAAATCATATTAATTTAACTTTGTATTCAAGTCTGAATTATATTATAATTCTAATGTAAAAATATAAGATTCATTATAAATTAAAAAAACAAATTTTACAAATCAAATAAATACTTTTTTGAGACAATGTATGATCTTTACTTTGTGATAAAGTGAGGAGCTTAAATTTATAAAGAATTTATCATTTTCGGTTATTTAAATTGTATATACCATTCCAGTTTCTGTCCCTATCTAAAATATTGAACAAATAAATATATTAAATTAATAACAAAATAAACAAAGATTCATGGTTTTATAATTAAAATGATTATTTGAATATTAATTTTTTATTTAATAGTAAATATCTTTTAGATTACGGGTGGAGAAAGGAATATATTGGTTTTACTATGATGAATTTTTTTTTATATATACTCAGTACGAAAATTCTACCAGAACCCTTGCGCTAATTTTCAAGTGTACAACTTTTTTAAAAAGGAATTTTATCTAGGTACTTTAAGGAGGTAATTTTTTGATTTTCTTGGCAGTTTTCAAAATAAAATTTACAAAATAATGCTTTTATTATTTTCAATTTTGTTTTTTGTTGTAATTCAATTAAAGTTTAAAATTTTGACAGAAAACTTATACTTGCCTTTCCTAGACATAGTAAAATTTTCAAAACAGTTAAACCATTTTTAAGATATTTAGTGGCTAAACAGAAATGCTTGAACATTTAACAGGAGATTCATTGTAAGTTATACTTAGTGGCCAGAAGAATGTTTATTTATACAGGAATTTTAATATTAAATGACAATACAACTGAACTCGGCTCAGAATTATTTTTTGTTGGGGAGGAAACCTAAAAAAGTGATACACAAATTGATATTCAAAAGTACCTTCCCAGTCAGATTTCCTTTCAGAAAAAGTGCTATCATTGTAAATCTGAGCAAAATTGCTCTAATTTCATAAGAATTACTGGTAGGTATTATTATTATTAGTGTATAGTTTGGTAGATACCTATTAAGGACAGTTAACAGTGTATACAATGGAAAATGACAAACAGCTAAATAAAACATATTTTTGATTAGCTTTTGTGCTGATCTGGTTGTTCATATTACTATTAAATACTAGATAATATTATTATATTATGTAGGTAATTATTTATTATTGTTATTTAATTTTTATATGACATACTTATAATATGAATAACTGACATCTAGGCACTTGTCAATGTATCATTCATATCAATATATATTTTAAATACCTATCATCTATGTACTTAAAAGGAAAGTGGAAAAGTCCATATGTAGGGGTCAGTTTCCATTTTACTGTTATCCCATATCTCTACTAATTTAATCCCATTTTGACGCTGTCCCATTTCATTGCAAAATTCTCAAATTATTTTTTGTTTCAAAACAGTTAAAATTTTTCGATAAGTAAGTATAGTCTGTAATGATCTTAGTAGGTAGATACTGTATAATACCTGAAGTTATCAAATGATAAATCATCCACAATTATATAGATACAATATACTATAATGAATAATTATTAAATACTACCACCAAAAAACGAACTAGATACTTATTATTTTTTACCTATTTATTATTATGCAATTATCTATTTAAAAATCAACATGTTTTCAAGAAAAATAACTTAAACTTTTGTATTTGTAAACCCATTAGCTTTTACACCAGCTTTGTTTAGCTATTTCATGAAGAATAATTTTGAAGAAATAAAAGGAAAATATAATTGCTAGGTATATTAATGGTTTTGGTGAAACTACACCATTAAGTGGGACAAAATGGACGTAAAAAACTGTATTAACTGGACCACTGTTCACCAGGTATATTGTGATAATTTTCAGTGGAAATTACGGTACCTACGTTATCTATACTATTGTTATGAATAGGCGAAGTTTGTGAGGGTGAGGTCGTAGGGGGTAATCTCCGGATCTACTGAACCGATTTTGAAAAATCTTTTACCAATAGAAAGCCACATAATTTGTGAGTGTCATATAGGCTATATTTTAATCCGAAAAATGAAAAGACCTTCGTGGTAGTCGGATATGCACAGTTAGTCGGAGAAAAAACGGTCGAACGAAAACGTTTCTTACGAACGCTGCCTTAACGATGAGAGACATATGATTGAGTTCTAAAGAACAGTTGTAAAGTTTGATAATGCCTACGAAAAAGTCAACGACAGCGTGTGTCTAACTTTTTTATTTAAGTAACAAAAAGTAATTTTTTGTATTAAAAACATAATTCTACGCTGCTTCTAAGTAACTGAACTATTGTAATTATTATTGTTACAAATATTTACGCTATTCAAATTTCACAATGGAACACATTTAGTCGACCGAAGGTGAACTACCCACTTTCCACCTATTTGTTTTCATTCAATTCTAAAACGGCCAAAACCAAAAATGAATATGGGTAAAAATAATACAAATTGACTCGGGCAACGCCGGGCGCGGGACAGCTAATATCTTATAGCTTACGACGGAAAAATAAGAATAAAATTAAGTTTGAATTTAAACAATAAAAAAAAAAAAAAAAGTGTTTATATTTTTGATATTTTTCGTGTGAGAAATAATATTGTGTTAAGAACAATGAACATTGAATATTAACAACTAGGTATTTTTACCTTGTATTAATAAATAATCAACAAAATTTGTGGTTAATTAGTTTTCTAACAGTTTTATTATGTCGTACAATTATTCGTCCGTAAAATGATTTTATCAGAAATAAATAAATATATTATTCATATTTAATTCAGATTTCACTACATCTGATGTAGCCATATATAGGCAACCGCAATAAGAAAAAGTATTTTATCGATGTTCGTAAATAAAATCTCTTCAGAATCTAATATCTTAAAATCTAAACCTGATGTCATCAGATACGGCACGGACTTAGCTATTCTACACCTTTTTAATCGTTTAATATTAATAATTTAACCTAATTATTAAATACTACCTAGACACTATTTTAGATTCGGAGTGGAGCGAGTATTGGTTTTACAATGATCTTTATATTTTTTTTTTTTTTTTTTGCGGAGCTCCCTACTTACATGTGTTTGAAAATTTAGCTGGACCGACCAACCATGAAAAATTCTTAAATACGCCATTGCCGAAGTGTATAAGCAGCAGAAATTGAATAAGCTAAAGACATTAACGCTGAACAACAATACACTGGTATGGGTCCGAATGTTGTCAGAACTTTGGAAGCTGGATAACGTGGTGTNAATGAATCTCCTGTTAAATTTTCAAGCATTTCTGTAAAGTCTAACAATTTTACCATAGAGTACCTATCGATCAAAAATGACGTAAAAACTCGCAAAATTAAACTGTCTATAAAAGCCTAAAAATGGCTTTGTTATAATAATAAATATGTTTTTAAACAATTAAATTTTACTACGTCTAGAAAAGGCAAATATAAGTATTCTGTTCAAATTTCAAGTCTCTACGAATATTTCCAACCGAATTACAACAGTTAATACAATTTTAAAAATAATAAAAGCATTATTTTCTTAAATTTTCTGGTTTTCTTATGTTTTTTCCCACTTTTTATTTTATTGGGAAAACTGCGGGAAATATCAAAAAATGACCTCCCTAAAGTACCACTCCAAGAAAATTGCCTTGGTTAATACTGTTTAAGGAGAGAAGTTTGAAAGGATGATATAACATAGTATCTTATTCTCCTCAACAACAAAAGACCATATTTTTGTTGTATTTTTTTTTAATAAGCGTTTTGAAATCAAATTTAAACGAAAATCACAAAAAAAATTACATCATTTCAAATTATGTATTACCGACTGCGTTCGGAAACGTCTTTCCTCATCAATAGTTTATCGTTGCTTATCGATATAAATGAAATAACCTTATGTATCCTACCTTCTCAACTACTCATCTACAACAGTGATCGCTCCCATACTCAGTATCAGCTCCTTTTTTTCTTTTTAGTTTTGCAACTGAAACAACTGGTGTAGTCCAGTTAGATGAATTTAGTTTTTTAAATACGTCTTGATTCAGCAAGATTTAAATTTTTTCTTTACTTTGGCCCTAAGTATAAAACGAACAGGTCGAGCCTTAACAAAAATAGGTTTGACATCGGAATTAATTGTAAGTCTTGCTTGTATATTTTTTTTAATTCCCCTTTTTTTAAAACTGAACTGTATTTTTATAATAATTTTGCACTTTATATTGCACCTTAATATTACTATTTCTAAAAAAAATTAGGCCTGTCGAATTATATTATTTTCAACCATTCACGGCCTAATAAAGGTTCTTTATCCCCGTTTATCACATACAAATTTAAAGTGTGTATATTATTATATTTTACCTGAACATTTATACAACCCTAAAGTTCTAGTACAGTTCCACAATTAGACTTAAGCTAGTAGTTTCTAATTTTATATTTTCAAAGTAATTTTGATAGTCTAGTTTGCCTATAACCATTACTGTAGCCCCTGTGTCTATTTCAAATTCCATTTCATTTATATTTACTAATAAATTAACATACAATTTTGACCTATCAAAAAGTTCAGTAATATTATAATTGTTGTTAACACTATTGACATTTAGTTCGAACACTTTTTAAGTGTTCTACTTTTGAACAATAACCACAAATTTCTTTTTTTTTTATTGCAAGTGTTATCTAAATGTGTATCTAAACCACAACGAAAACATTTGTACTTAGATTTTTTTTTAACAACCTGTTTTTATTATTTTAAACTTATTACTATATGTAGTTCTTTGGTTACCTGCCTTATCCAGTTTTTCAATATTGTACCTATACCTGTAACTGGCTTTACTGTACTAGACGCTCCTGTTTTCTTTTCATATAAATTAATTAAATTAATTTTTTTCCGCAGTCTGTTCATTATTTAGTACTTGTGTTTAAAAAAACCCCCATTTAAATGAAAAAAAAAAAAAAAAAAATGATGTACGTGTACTAGCCTAAGAATAGATAATTAGGAAACGATATAGTTTCTGTAGCATGACAATATTATAGACGAGCAATGACAAAAACAGCGAGGCAATGTCAATATTGGAAATTGACCGTACAACGCACAGTGGTCCAAAAAATAAAAGAAAACCGCCATTTCTAGATTAAATGTGTATTTTTCTGACACTTAAATTATTTATATAAAATTCAATTTTAAAACGTTTTGTAACATTTAGAGCCCCATAAACATCGAAATTATACAATTTTTCTAAGTTGATCATGTAGATTGGTCATGTAGTCAAATTAATAAATTGTATGTATATTTTTTATGAGAAACACGTTTTTTATATTCTCAAAATTGTATTTTTAATCAGTTTTATTTTATTAATCTTTTTATACAGAAAGATCCTGAAAATTAAACTACAAGCTGTTTTATTATACATTTTCGCAGCTATACGCCGTTGACTGATAAATCGCTAGAAAAGAATATTTACTATCTGTTGGTAAAAAAAAAAGTTGCAAGGTTTGCGTTAGAAACAGTTATTTGAAGGTCAGCGATCATAGATTCACCGACGTACGCATCGGTTAAAACGGATCTTATCAAATTCATTTTATAATTCTTTGCGCCGTAAGTTATACGAGTGCGTCCACTAACCCGTGGCGGACCGATCACACGCATCGGCCCGTCGGTAATGCTGACGCGATTTCTCAGAGCGGCGACTTTTCCGACAGCATTGCAAATGGTCGTCGCGTCGGTAATTCGATTGCTACGGATACGGTGGACGCACTACAACAAATTAATCCGTTTGATACGATCCATCCGATACGCACGATGCGAACCTATGGACGCTTACCTTAAGTCGCCTTATAATCGAGTTCTATTCCCACTCCGTGATGGTTCGTATTGTGATTCAATATGCCACTGAGGCGCAACGTGTAATATTTCGTGAAATTCCAGAGGACGCTTCCGACAACCGTTCCATCCGTATCCAATTGGCCTACGGATATATACAACACACGGTGTTAATGATAATATTACGACACTGAAAATGGTTTCTCTAGCTACTTAAAACGAGTCAATTCGATTTTGTAAATAATACGAGATAATCGGATTTTATTTCAGAGAAGTGGGCGTCGTGGCGATCACCGTCTCCCATGACAATTCCCATTTCAGCATTTTTTTTATTTTCAAAATTCTTAATCGAATTATAATATAGGCATCCAAGGCCACATAAGGAGTTTCCCTGGAGGAAAGAAAGGGATTGCATTTTTAAACATGGTGTACGTTTAAACGTAAAAAATATAAATATATAATGGCTGTATGGTATCTATTTCTCGATTTCTCTATCCCCTAATTTCTTTTTGCTTTTATCTATCGATCTCTGGATTTCTTCTTTCTTGGTATATATTAAGTTCAGTCATGTTGTAGTCATGCAATTGAGAATATTAATCAGAAATGAATACATAGAATGATAAATTAATGGTAGAAAAAAAAACTAAATGTTGCTATAGAGGTCGCTATATAAGAGATGTGAGAGAACATACGGAGTAGACTAAAAAATGGTAATTGGTATAGGGAGACGTACCTCGTGTATGGGAGAAAAGGAGTGTAGCTATCTGCATTTGCATATGGGATAATGCGAGCAAATGGGCAGAAGAATAAAAACGTGTTTAGGGAAAATGGTGCCAGCTACTTTATAATATACTAGTATATTATCACCTTTGGCTTCGATCTCGTCGGACAGGACGATCCGGTGTGACAATGTAGATTTTGCCTTATTTTTACGCAGATCGTACTTCACTTCTACGCAGGTTGTTACGTTGGAATTTATGCGTGCCATAACCCGCAAGGCTGTGCTCAGAGACTGGTCCAGTGTGGCTACGTAAGTCATACAACTTTGTTGGTACCCCAACATGCCCTCATAGCCCTTTAATATCTTGGGTAACAAGGAAAACGGTGGCTCTCGTTGGGCCACGAACGTGCACTGACCGCCCAATACCCAAAAGCCAGGCATCTGTCTTATAAAATTCATCTTAAGCTCATTTAATTGATCCGTAGTCTTATTGATGGATATCTGAACGTTGAATTCATCATCAGCCCACTCGACGAGTCCGACAACCTTCGATTTCGACCAATCCGCCAGAATTTGGCCATTGATTTTCATCCACAGTTTGTCAAACACGTTGAAACGTAGTTTATGTGAGGTGTTGCGCTTTAAGTCTGTATCCAGGTACCAACAAAGAGTTGGCTTCAAGTGTACCTTGCCAACATCACCACCGCCGTCACCACCACTAAAGCATGTCAATAAATAATTATTTATACCCAATAATTATGGACTAAGTGCATGAACTAAGTACCCGGGCACCTAGTTCCGGTAATTTGAAAAGGTCAACGGGAAGCTTCCCAATGGGCACCCATTTATTGAACTCAAACAGTTGGTTTCTGGGAAGATTGAAAAGCTTTGCTTTGGGAGATTTCTGGTAGGCACTAATTCAAAATAAAATTGGGGGTACACACACTAAACTGTATAGACATATAACATGCACACGAATAAAGTCATGATTAAAATCGTGTGTAACATACATTTATATTTGTATACTAAAAAAAAGATGGACATACTTTGCACAATGGGTGAACCATTATTATAGAATAGTAGTTGGAAAGGTAGGATATAGAGGGGAATTTAATGAATGTTTGTGCGCAAAGATTAATCTTTGCTAACAAAAAACGATTCTGAACGGAGTTAGGTTATACATGTTTAAAAGGCCATAATATTTACGATTTTCGTCAAAATTTGATATTAAAATTATTATTAAAAATAAAATATTATATTAAACTCAACTTTTTCTTATTGACCACTACGTATAACTTATAATAAACCGTTTTTTAAATTGTCGAGTATTTCTGTTTTGTCTAACAATTGGCAACCAGTGACCATTGAATTGGTTCCCAATATTAGACTCTCAACACGCACAAGAGGAACACCTCCATAATAAACAACGTTCATCATATACGAGTTTGTGTTCTTACTTATTTACATGAAATAAATGTCGAGGGAGCCAATTCAATACCTAAATCTCAGGAGGTAATTCAATAGGTAAAAACATACACCATCTAAGTTTGGGAGCCAGTTTAATAGCCTTGTAAAAATTTTATCCACAGAGTACATACCGAATAAATATTACGTAAAAACATTATAAAATTAAAATGTCCAATAGATAAAAAATGGCTTATAGAAAATAATTATATGGATATTTTTCACTGAATTACAAAAAAAAAAAAATTGAAAATGATAAAAGGATTATTTTTGTAAATTTTCCCGTTTTCCTGCGTTTTCCCTGATTTTCCCATTTATTGAAAAAACTCCTGAGAAAATAAAAAAATTACCTCTTCTAAAGTACCAACTCAGGAAAATTCCCTTTCAGAAGAGGTGCAAGGTTTTTGGTAGAACTTTTGTACACAGTAAAAAAGAAAAGTAAACATCATTGTAAAACCAATACATTGGTTTATTGCTCGGTATATACTCGCTTTGCTCAGAATCTAAAATTTGATCCAACAAAAAAATTGGCCTTAGCCACGCGGGGCAGGACAGCTAGTATTTGATAAACAAACAAGCCATATTGTTTCTATCACAAATTCACATCGATTCATTAAATCCGTATTATGAATTTGACCAATAGTAAGTATTACAGTATCACTGACTACAGTAGAGAAAATTAATAACATTATTACTTAATGTTCGAATCTTACTTGCTGGACTTTTCTATAGCGTTGTTATTAGCTTTGGTACTCGTGAAACCAAAACGGAACCTGTTTCCACATGGATGTATTGAACTGATCGTAGTTCGGTGAATTAAATAGCCAACCAAGAAATTCGTGCCAAAAGTACGATTAATATTAAACTTCGTAGTTCCGGAGAGTCCCAAGAAAACACTCGGACGTAGATTGGCGTTGATGAACACTGCATTCTTGTAATTTGGACATTTGCCTAAAAAATGCGATAATTTCAATTAGCCATAAATAATTTAAATAGTGCCGAAATGATTCGAAAGTTATATCATGCCCGAAGAACTTTCACATAATTTGGGGAAAATGTCAGACTGATAAGCGCTAATAAGTGTCTAAGCGTGCTACACGAACCTTTAGTCAAAATATTTGAAAATCAAAGCAAAATAACTAAATTAGTAAAATAGCTCTACAAGTCCCAAATGTGTAAAAAAAAAAAATAACAACAAAAAATTTATTATATGACAACAGTGAAGTATGAAATAAATATTTGTTTCTTACTCAAAATTTTCTGGATGCCACCAAAAATTATGTGGCCAGATTTTGAAATTCCAAAACTAGGACATGATATTGAATGGATTTTTTTTAAAAACGTTTATGTTTTCTTTTTACATTAACTATATTATTACTTATTTTCTATTGATTATTATAATTTTCACTTCAATGAACTTCGCTCAATTAAGTTGAGTTGTATCATAAAATAATATAATATTCGTATAATTTGTTACAAATTAAATTAAAATCCATTTAACAGCCCGTCGGGCCTCGTACTGTATCTACCCTTTTTATCTGATAAAGCATTATTCATACATTTACCATCAGCCTCTATTAACCGGGAGAAACTGAATGACCAGCCGGAACACCGGGACATGCCCTTAAATTCGGGACAAGTCTAACTAAATTTAACATGCAAAAAAAGTAATACAGGGGATTCGGTTCAATATGGCCACCGGTTAATCTGAGTAGTCGCCTCATATGGGTATAATGGTCCCGATTCCGATGGTATATGGTAACTGGTCTCAACGTGTCCAAATTAAGCAGAACCCACTGAACTTCCGACTTATTTCTTATTATAGACACGTATTAATTGTATCAGTAACTAACGGGCGAACCAAAATCACGTTACCAGCTTTATAAAGTTAGAACAAAAACCGCGACGTATAGGTTGAAATTATATTTCCGTTTAAATACAAATGAAAAATTTAAAGAAACGATAGAATTGTCGTGGGCAGGACGCGTTTTTTTTTCAAAAATATAACCCAACAAATTAGTTACAACGCACTGTCTTCGAGAATAATATTCTTCGTTATCCGCGCCTAGCTTTATATGCTCTAAGTAACGTGATTTTACTATTTTTCAACGGTTTAATAGATCGAGAAAGATACGAGAAAGTAAATGCTGGTAATATAATATATGTGTAAGACTGTACACTGCAAGTACTCACTTCGGTTGAAACTCTGTGTAAAATCCATTTCGTAAAAAAATAAATAATAGCTATTATATATCACGTAATAAACAAAAATTGAACTTTTTAAATTTACAGGGAATATAAATGTTTATTTACGTTTTTAGAATTACCATAGTATTAATAATTAGCGTTTTATTCATTTTCACAGAGGCTATTTGATTTTCCATCAAAACAAATCCGGAGATAAAAATACTATTATAGTGTCAAGACTATTATTATTATTATTTTATTTTTTAATTTCTTTGCTTGGTGTATTTGTAACACGTATACCTACTACAATACTGATTATATTTGTTTAGTCTCAAACTATTTAATATTTATGAATATAACAAGAAATAAAAAACGGACACGCATCGCACGGTAGATTGGCTGCTGTTGTAGATGAGAATTTAGAAGGAAAATTTAATGTATATTTGTAAGCATTGATAACGAAAAACGATTCTGAGTATAGTTCAGTTGATAGTGATGCTTCGTCAATAATATATGTATCATTCTATGGTAAAATAATTAAATATGCATTAAATATTTTCTTTAATAATATTTGTTAAAAATATTGTACCGTTTTTCCCGGGTTTCCCTTTTTTCCCCGGCTTTCCACATTTGCTAAAAAACCTTGGAAAAATCGAAAAATGACCTCCTTATAGTACCTTTCCAGTAAGATTTAATTTCATAAAAAGTGCTATTATTATAAATCGGGGAAAAATTTTTGATAGAAAAGTAAATAAAAAAAAAAAAAAGGCCATCATTTTTTTTTTTTAATACTATATACATTTCGTACATTTTCCGTTTTTTTGATATTTTATCCCGGTTCTACTCAGATATTGTGAAAACCGCTTGAAAAATCAAAAAATGACCTCTTTAAAGTACCATGTAGATAAGATTTCCTTTGAGAAAACAAGCTACATTTGATACACTGAAACCAGATTTCTGGTAGAAAAGTTTGCCCAACAAATCGAGGGTTATTTTGTGGTTAAAGTTACCCGAGCGAGCGATAAATTGGGTCTCTAGGTACACTTAAAATGCATTTGTTTTTCCTTGTTTAGATAAACAGGAAAAAAAAAAATTCAAACATTTATTTGAAACTTGGATCTGAACTCGTAATCCCTAGGATGACAATAGTTAAGGTATGTAATATCATTAGACTACGACAAAACACATAATAAGTTTGACAATAATCAGTTATTTAACATAACATATAATACCCGCATAATATCAGAACTTCAAAAAGCTATAATTTCGAAAATATGTCAGTCCGCTTAATTTTTACTTCACCATCGTTCGGCAAAATACGTATGTTTCAAACAAAAAATGGAAAAACTAGATTATTCCACATAATTGTTTACTCAAAAAATGTTCGTCAAAATTAAATATTAAAATTTCTTTATAAAAAAAATACTACATTAAACTGAAATTTATTTGAACATTCTGTTAAATGTTCACACATTTCTATTTAGCCTAACATTTTTACCACACAGTACCTACCGAATAAAAATTACGTATAAAAGTCATAAAATTAAAATGTCTATGAATAGCTCAAAAATAGCTAAAATGTATAAAAAAAATAATTTTACCCCATCTAGAAAATATAAGTTTTTGTCTAAATTTCAAGTATCTACGAACATTTTTAACTGAATTACAACAAATAATAAAAGCATTATTTTCGTAAATTTCCTGTTTTTCTTACGTTTTTCCCATTTTTTTCTCTTTTAATGTGAAAACTGCAGAGAAATTAAAAAAATAATCTCCTTAAAGTACCACCCTTCGAAAATTTCCTATCAAAAAAGCCTGTACATCGTTTAAATCGGAGCCAGATTTTTGGTGGATTTTTCTACACAGTATATAAAAAAAAAAAAAAGTAAAATAAAAAAAAAATTAAACATCTTAGTAAAACCAATAAATCCCTCGCTACGCTATGAATTTAAAATAATAACAGACTATTATTACTGTAGGCTAATGGATATAAACATCGTCCACTACGACGTCGACGGGCGTAGTCAATAGCAACCGATAAAATGTTTGATGTTCGATAAAATAAATAGTATTACGTCGTTGCGATCGTGCAACACCGCGTTTCCGTTGCAGATACGTCCTATACCGATAATTTTCGATACAATCGTCGAAAATTATTGTTATAAGCGTCTGCTGGCGTACAAAAAACTGAACATTTAACGTTATGAAGTTCGGTACCTAGTGATGCAGGACATCGTCAAATAACTCAAATGAGTCAAGTGAGCCCCGGGCAGCGAGAAAACAAAATGTTTCAGTTCCGCGGAGGCGGGAACAAAAAACCATACACGTTCGCAAGCCAGCCCCATGCACTGTTCGTGGCTGTCAGGACCACTCAGATTGACAGGGAAAAGTGAGTACAGTATATTATCGTTATTCGTTATCGCGAATAAGTCGAAAATTGAAAAAAAAAAAATATTTATTTTTAAATATGTTAATTTGAAGTGTTAATATTATTATGGTGAAATTCTTATTAACTAAATTTGAATATAAAATTGTATTTAATTTATAACTACCTACCCACACTAAGTTACTTACTCTTGATTTTTACAAGTTTCGTCAAAATTCATGTAACAAAATTCCAAAAAAAAATAGTATAAAATACGCGTAACTTTTTTTTTCTCCAACCGGTAACAAAAACTTTTGTTAGCACGTTCTGTACAATTTTCGACCGTTTAAACCAACGGTTCTCAAATTATTTTATTCAACGCCTCTTTTGTAGATTTTTAGAAATTTCTTGCCCCGTTCCCTTTTAACAACATGATGGGCAAAAATAAAAGTTCATTAAGCTCGATAACAAACAAATTTTATCAAAAATTAAAGCCGACCGGGCAACTGTCCCCTACCGCCTCTACCTAATTATGGCCTTGCACGTAATATTTATCGATACCTAATCACCAGTTATTAATAATTTCCTTACGTTGTAAAATAAAAATTTTACTTCGTGATTGCGCGTCTCGAGCAATTTGTTCATCCTCCCCCACGTTTGGCAAACACTGATTAAAACGAATTATGAAGCCAAAAACCATCCGAAATACAAAAATTGAGTTGTGCTTATAATAGTAGTTATAAGTAATTATGAATTAGATACATTAAATATTAACATTGTATTATAAGCATTCCAATATCAGCTTTTTTCTACGATTATTGGATTAAAACAAAATCGATTTTGATTTTTGACAAAATCCGTGATGTAAAAAACTCCTTCTCTTCAACGTTCTTTTCTGGATTCCTCCCTCCTGCTATTAGAAAAATACACATACAATATTTTAAAAGGACCTCACCGACGCACAACCAGAACGAAACGACACCAGAAAACATCCACGAACTGTTGTTGATTGATACCTGTATGGAATACAAATATTGGTGAAAATGATCATAAAGGGGGCTTGAGAGGTAAAGAACTCAACAACCTCCCCCCCCCAAAAAAAAAAATTAAGTGCATATCAAGTAAAATCTAAGTATACATAATCAATATTTATCAATATTATGAGAGCTTAAGACCCCTTCGAAAATATTTAGACTTTAGGCACCTATGTCTATAGTGTTCTATAGACACCTGGTTAAAAAAAATAAATAATAAAAACAGACGACGACTATGTTTTACAGTATTTTTTTTTTATAAACCGTAGTAATGGCAACGTACCTATACTGATTCGCGTGACATCGTGTCACGTAATTTGCGGTGGCACCCACCGAAGAAACGTGGTAGGGTGTGTTCCGTAGTTACTCTCCCCGTAAATAGGTATTGACAACCGTTATGTCGTCATTTTATACATTTTGCATACAATTAATGCAAAATATTTTACGTACGAAACTTTGAACTATGGAAGTATGTACATAAAACTATCGAAAATCTATCATAGTCACAACGATAGATTTCATATTCTTTTTTATGTACACCAGGCATTAGAATGTATTGATATCAACTAGGTATGGTAAACAGCTCTTCGTTGTGTGAACACACACCGACACGAAGTAACGTTTACCTATCAAAAATAATATCAGAATCGGATTCACCAAACAATCAACGTGCACCTACACAATTTTTGCATACCTTATAGGCAACAACAATATTGTTTTCATTTTTGATACTCGATAATATGGGACAGGTGCGCCACTGTTGTAGATATGAAGTTAAGATGATAGGATACATAAAGTTGTTTAATTTTGATCTGTTATTTAATTTATATTAACCATTATTAATGGAAAACGATTCTGAGCGAAGCTCGGTTATACTAGTTTTGAAATGTCTTAATATTTTTAAGATTTTCGTCAAAATTTAATTTTTAAAACTCTTGATAAAAAAAAATTACATTACTATCAATTTTTTTTACTAGAAATTTATTTTAAAATTTGAGTATAACAAAAACTACTGTATATTATAGTTTTAAAAAGATATATGTACCTACCATGGAAAATACTTTTTTTAATTAATAAAACTGCTCAGTTTTATTCATATCATAGTCATGTCATTATTAAAATATGTTAATACGAATTTTCGAAATTTGCAACGGTTTTTCTAACAAATCAGAAAAAAATATTTTGAAAGTACTCTTTCAAATCATTTTCATTAGAACGGAAGGACGTAACTCGTTATTTTGTTAAAATAATAATGAATAATACTGAATCTGAATTATTTTGTTAACTGCCATTAAAACAATCACAATACCATGAAGTGAGCATAAACGTGCGTTTAGTTCTTTGAATAATTTAGTGGCTATTAAAGTAAATACATTATGTTAGACCATCAGTATAAACATTAAACCCGGCTCTTATGTATTATGTATTATAAAGAAATTTTCTGAAGAAGAATTGTTGTCCTAAAAGGGAAAATGCAGAAGCAAAACAATTACCTACAGTTGTGGAATGTTATTTAAAATTAATAAGGTACCAAATTGACCAGAGAATATAAAAAAAAAAATAATATGTATTCATTGTAATATTGCTGGGACATGTTATTGATATATTATGTTGTAATAATTTGATGAAGAAGAATTGTTGGGGAGGCATGGAGGGGTAAAACCCCCTACAGGTCAAGTTGAGTTTAATCGTTGTGAAGGTCGCTAATTTTTTTAAAGTCTTGAAGTTCCCTTTCTTTTATTTTTCCAATCCGATTCCAATCCATTTCCTAATGTTACTGCGTTAATTTTGTCCTACACGAATAAAAAGATAAACGCTGCCATTTTCACAATCAATTTTCGAATTCAGGTCAAATGATAATTAATAATGTGTAAACGTTTTTTTTTTTCACAGTATGTGTAAACAAATTGGTTACACAAACATCATGCACGACAAACGAGTGGTCAGAGGCAGCAATTTCGCAAAAAAAACATTTGTAAGTTATATTTGAAAACTCGATTTATTTGTATTTTACATAACATAAATAATACTTATTAAACAATTAAAAAAAAATAAATACTTTTGAAATATTTGGCGTTCAAAATGGAACCCACATTTTAGGTGAGCTAAACGATCGGGGATAAGCGTCTTACTTAAACGCATGCTCTGTAGTATTTTCGTTATAATTATTATTAAACTGTTGTTCTTTACAGATTCAGCCCGTATCATAGAAGGAGATCTATTAGGTTTACTATGATTTCTGTTTTTTAAAATTAAAAATTAAACTAAATTTAAACTTTTGTTTGAGTCTGTAAACAACTTTTTGAAAATATACATTGCTCCGATGTATAGAAACTTTTCTGAAAGGAAATTTTATTTATTCGGTGTATTAAAGATGTCATTTTTTTTTGTTGATTTTCCAAAGAGTTTTTGAAATTATTGGAAAAAACCCGACATTAAATTATAGGTAAAATGGCAAATATTTACAGCACGTCGTATTCTTTGTTTTTAATTTTTGCAACTTATGTTTTCTACCAGACTTATTGGTTCAATCGAAAAGTGACATGAATTGATTTATTCCTGTTAATACATATCCATTGGCAAACAAATTTTTTTTTTTTTATATCTAAAGTATTTTTTATAATAATTACGAAAAGCCCAAGAAAACGAAAAATACGAATTTGTTTAAATTACTGCGCAATGATTTCATTATTTTGAATTTGAATTTACTAGACACATAGTTTCAATAGAAAAACAATTTGATTTTGGAGTGGAGCGAAGAAGCTTATGATTTTACAAAAATGTTTATTTTTTTTTCTGTGGACAACTTTTTTACCAGAGGACTTGCTCCAGTTTTTACGAGTAGCATCTTTTCTGAAATGAAATCAATGTAGAGTGAGTGATACTTTAAGGAGGTCATTTTTCGATTTTCTCAAGAGTTTTCTTATCAAATTTGAAAAACCGAGATAAAACATAAGAAAACCGGGAAAAACGTATGAAAATTGGGAAAATCGTTACAACATTAAACAAATATTAAAGAAAATATATAAAGCCTATTTAATTATTTTACTATAAAATGCCATTTATACTGTTGATAAAACATAACTATGAACTGAACTCCGCTCAGAATCGCTTTTTCATAAGCAATGGTTTATCGTTGCTTATACAGGTATACATTAAATTATTTATATTAGTGGCTGCACGCGTCCCCATTATCCTAGGATCGTCTTTTGTTAACCTTGTTAGTGACGATGACGAAAGTAATTTTTTTGATTTTCTTTGTAGTTTTTTTTTAATAATTGAGCATAACCGAAAATTTGAAAATTTGACAGGAGATTCATTATAAGTCGTAGTAAAAAAATGTAGTAATTTTTTTATATATAAGGTTTAAAATCAAATTTTAGCGAAAATCGTAAATATTACGGCCTTTGAAAACATACATAACTAGCCTTCGCTCTGAATCGTTTTTCATTAGCAAATATGTATCGTTGGTTACAGGTATAAATTAAATAACTTTATGTAACCCACCTTTCTAATTATCCACCTACAACAGTAGTCACACCCGTCTTCAGTATCAGCTCTTTTTTGTTCAGATTTTTAAGTATCTATAACTATAGAAACTATAGAAATATTACACCACTAAATTATATCACAATAATAATAAATGATAACCAAAATGTTATTTATTTCCAGCCAAATTTCCATAAAGAATCCACTGCGTCGCGCGAGGCAGAAGCTCGTCGGCGTGCCATGGCTCGAAAAAAGGCGATCGACTACCAAACGAGAGCGTTGCGATTGCACCTCGGAGCGCCAAAACTTACCAAGGGTCTTCAGAACGTGGACATTCAAACTGACATACATCTGGAAGAAGTAAATTCGAAATCACCGTAATATAAACTTTGAAATATATAGTAAATTATAGTGATGGTTACAAACGAATAGTTAGTGTTGTTGGTCATCTACTTGGAACCAAAAAATTGTGTTAAATAAATTTTACAACTTTTTAAATCTTTTCCAACAATATCTAACAAGTCAGAATAGAGATTTTCGGAATGTTTTTTAAGTTTGTGTAAACTGTGTGACGTTAGTTTCACGTACCTGACATTACACGATATTCGTATCACTTAGTATACTAGGTTAAAATATCCATTAATTCCAATTGTTTTTCAAAATATTTGAATACAAATATTTAGTGTTAGAAAAATATTTGATAGTTCATTTAAATTCTTTACTATAGATAGTATAGTAATTCATCAAATAATTTTGCCATACGATTATAATATAAAGAATATACGAATACGAAATAATACATATATAATAAATGTTATGATACACACATATGATCTTTAATTGATATTTAAGATTAATTATGATAAGCCAAAATTTAAATTGTAAAAAAAAAAAAATTCTTGCACTTTTCGGTAGTTGTACGAGTATCCGGAATCGCAGACGATCGGGGCCCAGACTGTATTCGATCAAGAGCCGTTATCAAATCCGAGATCAGGAACGTCCGCCGGCACAGACGCATCTACCCAAGTAGACGATATAGATGTAAGTCGAGTACAGTATGACAACAAATTATTTATCTAAACTAGGCACGTTTGATTTATAATAATACTTCACATACCTAGTAATTGAGAAATCGTTAACATATTGTGTATATTTCAAATATTACTATTACAAAATATTTATTTTAAAATAATTCAATAAGTATATTTATTTTTTTTTTACAATTTAGCTATTCGATTTTGAAACCGAGGTGACACCCATATCTGAGTCTTTGATCACGGAAGCTTTTAGGCAGGCGATGCTTGAAGTATTGTACGAAGACGAGCTAGACGTAAGGGCCCGACAGCAGAGAACATTTTACCGGCATTGCATTATCGAAAAGGTCGAAATGGATAGAGCGAAGCACGAAGACAAAAATCTGAATAAAGTTGTTGTGAGTATCTATAAAAAGGAGGCAGATATATGCACCTCAAACTTTTAAATATATATCCAAATATGTACTAAGAATACCAAAATTGTTTTGACCAACCGAAATAAATAAAACTATATAAATGTCTTCCTGAATACTAACAATCTCGTTTATTAATCATATTATTTTACATGCATTTGTCAAATAATAAATTAATAACCTAGCTCGTAAAAAATAATATGTATCATTTGTATTGATTATTATAAGGTATAAATTCGAAATAGTGTACAATAACTTGCATTGATTACAGGACGACCGCGCTGGATTTAATAAGAATAACGAGAAAATCGAAAATACTCGACATGCATCGACTAAATCGAATGATTTACAGCTTATCACTGCGAATACCAGTGACAACTCAATCAATATAACTGATGCACCTGTAGTAGAAAGTAAACGTTTTTCGACTCTGATCCAAGATTAAAGAATGACATTTAACCATATATGTTAACTCTGCAATAGGTCAAGAACTCGTGTCCTGGCTCAAAAAAGAACTGCACGCCGAAAATGACGAAATGTTAAAAGGTAATAACATGTTGTTTGACTAAACGTTTAGAAATAATATTGAAGGGGAGGGCAATATTTTATTTATTATTATACAAATTCCAAACCTAACCGTTATAAGGAGGTTGTACTATAATTTCTATTTTCTATTATATAGGAGACAAACAAATATTTCGTCTCGGGGTACTATAATGTTTAGCTATATCACTGGCCGTACCTCTCTCCTAAATAGGCACCAGGGAGTAGATTAATAAAAATGTCTTATTAATAAGGTGGTAATTAAAATGTAAAACAATAAAATTGGAGGAAATTTGAAAAACGGTCACCAATCTCTTTAAGTAAATATTAAAATTGTACAACATTTTTGTGTGTATAGATATAGTACGGGACCTCGTACAGCGTCGGTTAGATGTACACAACAAAATTACAGAAGTGCAAAACATTAAAAAATCTGAAGAACTATTCCGAGAAATTGAACCAAATACGTTACAATCTGACCAAACCACGAACAATAAATAATAGTCAGCATCAGAAAGCCGACAATTAAAGAAAAACTGTAATAAGGAGAACATATTTTGAAACGAGAAGACAATATGAATAGTAGTTCATATACCCGTGTTAATATTATACTACCTTTACTTTAATGTGTAAAAAACAAAATCGGGAGTAATAAAACTGTTAATATCGTAAATTTCCCCGTTGATTCTACATTTTTCTAAAGTATATGATTTCTGGTAGAAAATTTGTACTGACACAAAAAAAAAAACATCATAAAACCCCAATACATTACAGTTAGATGGTTTTTTGATTTATTAAAAATCCGTTACCTATGCTAACGAACGTCGAGTAGAGTTTCAATCAAAATAATGGTTATAATTTCGTTAGGAAAAAATCAAGTATTCTTAAATTATAATGTATTTTATATGATTAATTATTTAATATATTACATAAATTTGTTGAGAGTTGTATTTGTATCAAGTGTTAATAAAAATATGTATTTAAAAAAGAAAAAAAAATGTGATTTTTAATTCATTTTTGGGGATTAATGCGCGTGTACAAAGTACAGAAACATAACAAGTATTATATTGTGGTGTATATACGGAAAAACATAACTTTGAAAACTGGATTATTCTTTCTTTTTTTTTCCATTACAACTATATTATATACAGGGAAATATAAACAATATTTCCATCATTCGTCACTATAATGTCATCCGTACGCTGTTGCTGTCAACTCTTATATCGTACCTATTTTCAAGGTGCTTGAAGTTTACAATAAACTTATAATGGTAAAACGCGAGAACTACATTTTGCTGACGAAAAAGTTGACGGGATACTTTATTGGCGATTCGGAACATTTGTACTAGTTAGTTTTAAAAGTGTGTAATTTAATATTAGGTTAGGGAACTAAAATTTGACCACCAAATTATTTTTCTTCGAAACGTTCTGTAAACTTTTGGTTCCTAACAATGATGTGATATCTCTTAACAACACACCCAGGTTTGAGAACGGCCGGTTTTCGGACAGCTGGGCTGGTTTTTTAAGACGATAACCGACTGCCGGTTTTGTAACAAACCGGCCCTATATGATGACCGGTTTTTTACTTAGCCGATATAATTTATAAAAATACATTACCTACAGGTATGCAGCATGCAACGAGAGTTTACATGACCTACTTTTAACACAGGTGTAAATGGTTTATTAATGTTTACGTTTTTTATGATAACATTTTAAAATATATTTTGTATTATTTAAGTATTAATGTATGAGTCTAGAGTTTGATTAAAGTGAGAAAAATGGAGGAAATAATGAAAATGTTAAAAATGTCCAAAAACGACAAAGACATAGAACTAAAATTGTTTATTCAATAAAGCCAAGAAAATTTGCTGTTTGGCCATCTAAACAAGAGATGATCCTCACACTGCTTAATTCATTTTTCTCATTTGTTGTATGATACAATATTTATTTGCTTTTTTCACCAAAAAAAAGTGAATTGCCATGGTGATCTAATATTGTTTCGTGTTTGTGAGCAAACTTTTAGATTTCATCATTGTAGACATCATATCGTGGTAAATGACATCGTTTCCTTGAAACCGATAGACTGCAGTGATGGTTCTGTTGTATATACCTGATATCCACGTATCTTTCGACTGTTCCACGTTGTAAAATGTGTTTCTGAAATTAGAGCTATGTCTATTTTTTTATTTCGCATAAGATACTCAAATTATTGTTTTCAATGTAAAAGCCCATTAGCGTTCCATGTTACAATTTGAAACGTCCGATTCATTTTCTATTTTTTTGTACTTTGCTTTTTGATAGGTTATTTTCGAGCTTGTCCAATCTCTGGTTTATTTTTGTGGAACATTTTTTTTTCCGTTATGTATAAATTTGAGTTTGTGGACCCTTATGTTTGTCATTTGAAAAGCTTGCCATCTATGCAAAATAAACATTTTGAGTGACTGGTTTCGCAGGATTTTTACTACTGCTGTTTTTATTGGATGAACTTTTTCTAATTTTTTTTAATAAGCGGAGCATCTTTTCCAATTTGAATTGTGGCCTTCTCCACACTTTGTGCATTTAGCCTTTGATTTCTTAGACTAGTGCAGTTTAGCGAAGTGTGTCCTTTGCTACATTTCACACACTTTAGTGCTTTAAAATAGTAGTTTTAAATGTAACCAAAAGTTTGACAATTTTTGCATTATGACATTTCTTTTTTTTTTTCTTAGAGGTTCCACTTTAATTTTGTGATAACACAAATTTTCAAAATCATAGATGTCTTTGTTATTTACTTGTGGCTCCAGATCAATGAAATATAGTGGAAGCCTCACAATAATAAAATCACTGGCCTTGTTGTTAGGGTCAACTACTTTTTTAATCTGAATGCTCGTAATATTATGTATACGATATTCTAATTAGAATAATTTATTTTTTATGTCACAAATATTGGTTTTAGGGTATAACCCTCGAACTATCACCCGAAACTTTTTCTCTGTTTTAAGTTAGTATGTGTGGTACTCAAGTTTTCGTTCTTCTAAAATAATTTTATAGTTCGTAGAACCTGATGTTCGTCACTGTTAGATTCTTAATTTCACCATTTGCTAAGGTTTTTAATTTTTGCTCAGCTTCTTCGAGTTTCAGTTTATCCATTAGGTTTTTAAAAACATTTACACCTCATACTGTTATTGGAGGTGGTTTGTGAATTTTTATAGGAGATCTCGCAATTTCTTTCATTACTTTTATTGCTTTTTTAGGGGAGCTCAAAATGCCTTTAGAGCTTCCAGTTTTACCTCAAGTTTTTTTCGGTTTTTCACATTTGATAAGAAAACTCCTAAAAAACTCGAAAAGTAACCTATATTTACGACTACAAATAAATATACAATGCTAACATAAATATTTACATCCCCATTTTAGTTAAAATATTTGTATTAAACTATTGTACTTTATCAAATACAATCAAATATAAACAATTTTTATACTAATAAATTTAAAAAATTACTTAGCTCTTTTTCGATATCACAACTTTTCTAACTTGAGTTTCTTTTTTTTTTAGAGAAGTTATTACACGTTTTTGTTGGGATATTACTCATTTTTTTGTGATATAGTTGTTGTTTTTTTTTTTATCGAGTGAATAATTGTGAGGACAAAATATCTTTGTTGTTTTTTGGATGGAGTAAATCTGTAAATTAATATAATGACGTATATCTATGAATATAGCTTATGAATGTTGCTGGAAAACGATACTATAGTAATAGCGCGATAAAATAAATGAATAAAATTGTTTTTTATTTGACGCAAACAATTGGTAACAACGCGTTCGACATATAAATTGTTGAATTGTTGAAAAAATTATCATTTCGAGTAAAAACTATGTTAATACTTTTGCATAATACTCAGGTTTTAATCATCCGATCAACTTGAAATTTACAAAAGTATCATCTACATAATATACTGATCAATCCGTATAATATATACTGCGGTTGTCACGCAAGCTCTTTATTTTTTATTTAGCTCTGCACTACGACCACGGTGCTGAATACAAATATTATGTAAAATCAGCAAAATCAGACTAATAACAAATACATAGCACCAATTTGTCGACAACCATGGGCTCTAGCGGACAAGTAAAGAGCAGTTAGACTGTCGATAAGGGTCAACGACAGAACATTTGGCTTTACTACTAGAACACGGAGAATCATGTATATAAAACTTTTTTTTTTAAGTTAACATTTTTTCTACCAGAAAGTTTATGCCGATGAATATTATGTAGACATTTTAGACCCCATTTTTCTTGGGGTGATACTTTAGGAAGGCCATTTTTGATTCTCCTAGCGGTTTCCACAATAATTGACGAAAAGTGGGAAAAACGGACAAATATTTACGGCGTACGACGTAAAGATTTCATGATTTCATATTTTTATAATTTATGATTTCTACTAGAATCTTGTTTAGTTCAAAATATGACAAAAGACCCTTTTCGTTGTATTTTGGATCTAGTTGCTTACGGAGGAAGTCGTTTTTTATTTTATAACGTACTATTATTCTTTATGTAATTACTAATTAGTTACTGAATAATCGCAAAATGAATTAATTTTATTATTTTCTGTATAATAATTATTATTTCTATTCGTGTAGGAACTTACGTAGGAGTATATTTTTTTTCATGTTGGAACTTACATATGAATCCGCTCACCTGCTATGTTTTGTGTAGGAACTTACTGAGCCCTCTAGCATAGGCTGTCATGGAACCATTTATATCTATAGCCATGGTAAGGGTACATAGTTCATATTAGAGACTAGTCTAGTGTATAGTGCAAACTGGCATACTGCATTGAGAAATCTCTCGACTATAAATACTGATTCTTGTTGTCTGTATACTATTCTGTATTTACACTATATTATATAATCACCCACCCACCCAACCACTTAAACAAGTTCTAGAGTATTTACCTCACTTACGTGTTCGGCGCCACTGTAACACAAATCTCAATAATGGTTTTGGTTTACGAAAGGGAAAATACAATTTACTATAGCACTATGGTGCAAATTAAATGGTCGCTACTGATATATACATCAATAATTAGACCACTAATAACATACGCATTCACCATATGCATATTATATTTTAATAAATATGTAAAAATTGTAAACAATTTATAATAAATTTCTTAGAATAGCTCTTAAAGCACCCCGGTTCAAGTGTAACAAGTAGCTTCATAACGACACCGGAAAACCCTGTATGGATATATGGATCCAGGACCAATTAAAAATATTCCACGCAAGACTGAACACAATTGAAAGAGTCTTCCATTATAAAATCGGGGGAAAAAAACTGTAGATTAAAACCGCGTCCTCCATTATATGTCCTTTTACCTCATAGTGTCGTTCTCAAGAATTTTCAATTTGAGAGGGGTTGTAGGTATTTTCTAGAAAAAATGGTGGCTATCTGTGCATACCCTATTAGTTATAGCATTTAATATTATTTTTAATAACTACAATATTAAAAAACAAGAGCTGATACCA